CAAACGAAACCCAGGAGCTGCCCCAGGAGCTGCCCTACAGTTGCTGAGGGAGATAGAAATTAATCAGGAAAACATACAATCCTAAATGTGCAATGAAGAAAAAGTACAGGGAGAGAAGAAAGTTTAAAATAAGCCAGATCTAGTTTGAGTACCCGAGGAAGGGATATTTAAGCTAATACCTGAAATGTTAAGAGTATTCAGAAAAAGTTGGAGAGAAAAACGCTCCGGGCAGACGGGTCAGCATGTCGGCAGCCCTAATGGAAGGAGGGATGTGAAAAGAGGGCCTGTGGCTGCGGCAAGAGCAGAGGCCTCACGGGGAAGGGAGGGAGGCTGCTGCGAAAGTGGCACCGGCCCTCAGGGCCTGTGGCCCTGCAGAGGCCGGTGAATCGCCTTTCCTGCCCCCTAGGTCCCCAGCGTGCGGTGCTGTGCCTGCAGGCCACGTGACGCCTCGCCCTCCTGCCGCCCCTCCCCCGCGCCCTCCCTCTCCAGCCGCTGCGCAGCACGCATGTTGGTGGCGCCTCGGCACCTAACTGAACGATGGGCTGGGTGTGTTAGGATAATTGCCCTGCTCGATTTCAACATTTTGAGGAAAGGGACTATTGCCTCTTCATTTTCACACCCCCAGTGCCTTGCCAGTATTTGGTACCAGAGTAGACCCTCAAAAAACAATGTCTATAGAATGAGTGAAATAAAATAGTGTCTAATGTCAAGAGAAGTTGTACCTATATACAAATACACATGGAAGTTTCTTGGTCAAATAAGCTGGGGAATATTGTTTATCATGCCCTAATCCTGAAAATTATTTGCAGTGCCTGTTAGCAGGACCTGGAGTGGGACAAGGCGACAGGAGTACTGGGTGCAAGACTGAAGGAAGTAGACACAGACCCACGCCAGGGCCAGACTTGCCCTGCAGAGCCTGCAGATGCACCCCCTCAAAGGTTGTGCCCCTGGTGGCAGGTGTGCCCAACCCTAGTAATGTGCCCTGCACATTGGCATTTCAAAGTCTGGAGACCCCTGCAGCGGAGAGAACCCAGGGTTACCAGACTTATTTGAGGATCTGGTTCTTTAATATTTTTCATTAATACCTGTTAACCTCCCATCACTGCTGCTCTGTGAAATGAAGTTTTAAAGTGCTTTGCTACTATACGAATTAGTAAATTTTGCTTTCTACTCTTCCAAATGATAACTTTGATGTGGAAGATAGAGTTTAGATGGGAATTTGGGTCCATGTAAAAAAACACCATTGAAAATACATTAACTATTAGGATAGTCAGAAGAAATTTCTAATTAGTTTCCACTACTTTTTCTGGCCTCCCAAAGTAGTTCTTGATGAGGCTGTTACGAGGAGGGCCATGCCCATCAGGGAACGATGGGTTTCCACGTCCAGGTAAAGAAGTTCTGTTTTGTCTCCCCAGAGACAAAGTTATTGGTCTGTCCACGGATAGAAATGGAATGAGAAAAAAAGGTCAGTTGCTGGGGTAATAAGCCTGATAACATAGGTCAGTGAGCGTACTTAACACAGTCAAAATCTCAGCTCTCTGCTAATCCGTGTTGCAAATGTCTATCTGACTTCAACTGGATGAAAAGAATAGGATGTCTTCCTGGCTGACTTATAGAACCAAGTCCTCCTACCTCTCAGAAAAGTATTTTCCTCAACAAGTTTGTCTATAATAATTATTGTTTAGAAGAGAACAAGCAGTTCTCTTTGACAAATAGTTTCACAGTAGCAATTTTAGGCTAACAGCTTAGTACAAATTTCTGATTTTTTTCATTTCATCCAGGAATTTCCAAACTATTTTTCTCACACTAGATAAGTAAGCATCATAGCTCAATAAGGCGTGGATTGACTGTGAATGGCTAAATCTATGCAGAAAGGCTAAGTGTCAGAGAGACTTCATCACAAACAACTAAATGAAACTTCAAATTAAGTATTGGGTGATCCCAAGCACGTCTGCAGCAAGTCTACATGAGGCTCAGTCAGAAACCAGCTCCTGGGTGAGGACCTGGGGTCTATACCTGGGTTGGACATGGTGGTCGCCCGAACATGCCCTAGGGGAGAGGGTCCCGAGGAGGATCAAGGCCCTGGGCGCTCCTGAACACCCAGGGCTGTGTTCAGGGAGAAGCAGACACCCACACAAGCCAGGGGAGCAGAAGAGGGGCCAGGACGTTTGTCGTGAGTCTGACTGGCACGGCAGAGTGTGCTTCATACTGCCGTGTGGGGATATGGTTAGGCCAGTCTGAATACCCAAAACTGGTTTGGATATGGCAGGAGGAAAACTGTTTTCCATAGATCATTTCATGTGATTGGTTGGGAGTGGCTCATCTCTTCATGCTTTTAGGATCTGTTTTGTTCCCTATTTTAGAACTTCTAAATCTTGAACACCTATGATGGCTGCATAGCCAATAATTAAACTAGCGAAGCAAGTAAATGAACTTACGTTGGGAACGCACAGTAATGAAGCTGCCTGGCTGTGCCAGAGCCTCCTCCTGGCTGCCAGTGAGCCCCACACTGCCAGCCTACAGTCTCAGATCCATGAAACCGCACAAATGGAGCCGTCTGCTCTTTCTCAGTCTTCAAGCATCTTTTTCTCCTCAGGGACCCAATGGGAGGTTGTCTCCAGGCATCAAATTATAGCAATCAATAAACCACGAGCGACATGGGTCACTTAGAAACAGAGACACAGGCGTTTTGCTAGAAGAAGCAACTGATGACCTGTCAGAGGTCCAGAGAACCATGGTATTTCTTAGAGGCCAAGAATATGGGATTCAGCATGGCCAAATATTAGACCACCCCTGGGCCCTCAACCCTGTTCCCCCTGTGACTCCCATCTAGGTGAATGGCCCTCTGAAACACCCATCCCAGAAGCTTGGGGTTGACCCTCCACTTCTCCCTCAAACCCAGGAGTCACCTGGAGGGTTAGACCTGGAGCTGCCGCCTCTCACACCTTTGCACTCTTCCAGGAACCATGCTTCCTGCAGGCCCTCCTTGGGCTTCTCTTTATTCATTCTGCACTTGGCAGCCAGGCTTTTCCCTCTGCATTATTATTCTGATTCTGTCATTCCCTTCTTTAAAATACTTTCTATCTCTGAATCTCAGGGCGGATCCAAACAAGGAATTCTATAGAATGCTTTGGCATTTGACAAACTCTCGTTTGGACTGACTTCATAAAAATAGTGAAACAGCATCCTTTCTCAACTTTCATGTAATCATTGCCCAAAAAACATAACAGGCACTCAGTAAGCATTCATTCACTGAAGAATAAGTAGGTAATATTGAAAAGCAGGGACTCTTTCCCAAGCGACCCAAGATTCAAATCCCCCCTTTACCACCTGCTCACTGAATGACCTCAGAAAGGCGCCTTACGTCCCTGGGCTCCCATCCCTTCAGAGTTATTATCGGTGTGCCTGGTAGGAATGTGGTGGGGATTAAATGAGATGTATTTGGAGGACTTGGCCAACAAGTGCCTGACAGACAGAAATGACTCAAATGCTGACTGTGTTAAAAGCAAATAGGACAAGAAGTACACATTCATTAGGCGTCACCAATAGAGAGTACTTTACAAGGGAAACTGTGGGGTCGTGACCCTGACCTCCAGGACTGAGGCCTCACTGCATCCATCAGCACCATTCAGTGAGGAAAGGGAGCTCAGAGCTCATTTCACTAGAATTCACTTTTCCAGTAGGGCTAGGGAATCTAACTTGGGATACCCTCATGTCAAATGAGGATTTTGAATTTTTAAAAGTTTAGTTTGATGTTTCTAGGGGGAAATATGAATACCTTTTGGAAATCAAATGGGAAGGTTTTAGAATTCGCCCTCTGACCTTTGGCGAGCCGTCACTGTCTAGAACGGCTGCAGTGACAGGAGGACCGGGATCCAGAGTGTGCAGTTCCACTAATAGGACACGGGACCCATGGCTCTTCCCAGAGTGGATCTGCTGGGTGGGAATGACACTAGTGAAGGAATGGGAAATCATTTAATTTCTCAGTTATTTTTAAGAGTGGGACAGGAACTTGAGGAGCATTGAGTCTAAGCCTGTATTTTGCCAGATGGTAGCCATAAACCCCTGAGAGTTGAAGCGTCCCGCCTGGAGAGGGAATGGCCATTCTGAGGCTGGGAGCCCTTGTCTCCCAGCTCTGCCCCGGGCTCCTCCAGCTGGGAGCCATGAAGAGCATTTGTTTCTGTGACTCAGTGAGAAGTAAATCTTTACTCAGAAGTTTTTCTTCATGTTGAGACCCACCTGGCCACCCAGTGCCTCTCTCCTCAGTCTCTCCTCAATGCCAGATGTGGGCAGACCTCGCTTTCTTCTCTCAGCACGCACTGCAGATGCTGCCTGTCAGACTCTGCTGTCCTAGAATGGCCTATGACTCTGATGTGGTTCAGTCATGAGGTTATAGTTTACATACCTAATCTAGGTTCTAAATGAAATAGGGATTTCAACACCAGTTCTAAATGATCTGCCTGAACATCTGGAGGGAGCCATTATTTAGCATTTGTGGAAACTGCCCCAAGATTCTTGCATAAAGGATGCCTCTGCTTTTATTCGCTCGTCTATTCGCTCATGAATTCATCCGGCCAACACTGACTGATCCCTATCACACACACACCTTAATTTTATGCTTTTCCCACACACAAGCATTACCTGTTTTCACCACTGGGCTCTAAATTCCATGTGAGTAGAGATTAATTCATCCATCGTTACCACCTGTTTCTCTTTGTACAGCACCTAGTTCATGTTCTGACAGTCTAGGTACTCAGTAAAGGCCTGGCAGTAGTTGAAAGAACATAACAAAATTCACACTCATTTTTCACCTCCTGCTGTAGAATATATCAGAGCCATCTAAAATGGGTCGCAGGAAATGTGCAAAGTGGTGAAGGTACAGGAAAGGGACAGAGAGACAGCAAGAGAGGTAGGGGGTGGGTCAGGAGAGGCCCTTATAATCTCAGACCCCCTCAAGGATATCAGTGCTTCATCAGGGTGAAAAATCGAGTGAATCATACCTGACAGCCTGCTGTACTGTCCTATATGACTGAATGTCTGTGCATCGAGCAGGGATTGTGTTCGCATTTGCAGCTCCCATGAGATTTCCTGAGTCCAGCACCCACCAGTCTCCTGGTGGAACAGCAGCTTCTCAGGCAGATCTTGCCCCTGTAAACTTAGCAGAAAAGAGTGGTGCCAGGTGAACCGATGCAGAGCGACTCTGGTGGTGAAGACAGCATTTACTGAAAGCCTGTGGCGTGAGTCACTGTGGAAGCCTGCCTCTTCACTCTGCCCACACACCAGGGGAGTTCAGTCTTCTTACAAAGCAGCGAAGTGTGACATTAGAAGGGTTTGGACAAGTATTTGGGAGCCTCTGAAGTTTATCTGAACTAACCAAGCCTCCCAAAGCCATAAATCTCCAGAGAAAGCTTCCGAGAGTGACACGCTTCACTGTGGCATGACCCTGGGCTTGCAGCAGCCCAGCAGAGGCGAGCCTAGGCAACCCGCAAGGCAGAGCTGACACACTGACTGCCCTTCCCTCCGGGGCATCTCTCACCTGACACTCACGAGCCTGACACTGTAGGATTTTGTCTGCCTGCTTCGGGCAGTGCTGCAGTGAATGATCCTTGAGAAGCCAGGGCAGTCATAGAATGTTGCTTTCTGTCTGTGGGCAGGTTTCTAACTGAAGGTCATTATCGCCCCCACTGTCACAGACCATGGACTCCTGGACTTTCTGTCCAGTGTTGCTCAGTGTGCCCAGAAAGCACATGTATCTAAACTGGTGAGCTGCTTGCTTTGGATCCAGATTCTTGGGACACTCCCCAGATAAGGGAATCAGAAATTCAGAAGGTAGGGCCCAGGGATCTGAACTTTAACAAGCTCCCCTTAGGCATACTAAATCCCTAGGCATAAAAAAAAATGTATCACCATTCCTCCAGTGCAAGCTGTCATTTTGCAGAAGAGGCCCGAGGGCCAAAGAGCTACCATAACCTGCCCAACGTCCCACAGCTGGTCGACATCAAAGGCTGCCCCAGACCCACGTCTGTGCCCTCCTAGACTGTCCCTGTTTCACCACATCCCCACCATACCTTGGGACAATCATCACGGCACAGCACAGGGTCCTGTGGAGCAGTGAGGTGCCTGCACTGTCTCTGGGCAGTGTGATGTGAGTGCAGAGGAGACAATCCACTGCACAGATCACTCTCCAGTTTCCTGCAGGCTCATGGGTGAATAGGGGGAGCAAGTAAAGGTCTCTGCGTCCTCCGGTTGACCCTCAGGCTCTCCTGCTGTGTCTGCCTGCCTCTACCGTATGCTCAGAGAATGATCCAGTGTTAGTTATTTGTCCTTCACTGTAAATAAGGTAAAACTCTCTTACTCTTGTGGATGCCATTCACCAGGTGCTACCTTTTCATTTGCTCTTGGAAGCCTGCCCTTGCTGCCTGCAGGGAACACCCCCAGACAACCCTGGGGGTAACCTTCCAGTCCTGCCGCTTCCACTCCATATCGCTCTTACCTATTTGCCTGTCCATCTCCTGCACTGAGAGTCAGCAGCTCCATGGCAGGAGCTGAGTCCTTCATTTCTTTGCCCCCATTGCCAGCACAACTCATAGCAACTCATAGCCCATGGCAGATGATAAATAAATGGTATGTATGTGTCAAATAAATCCTTGCAACAACCTGGAGAATAGAGAGGAATTACCATTCCCACCTTAGAGATAAACAAACTGGGTAAAGAACAGTAAATGGATTTGAGGATAACTATAAAGCTATCCAGTGAAAGGTTAGAGATTTGAAAGATTTGGAATGACTTCAAGAGCACCGCTGTTCTCCCCTGATCAAACTGCCAGCAAGCCTCCCTGACCCCACCAAGGTTAAGGTGCTCCCTCTCCAGGAGGTACCTACCTCTTTACTGGCTCTCTGGTTTTGGAAAAGGAGGATTAGCCTGCATTAGTGGAAATGTAGTAAGACAAATGCAAGATGTAAATTGAGAGTAGATGTAGAAGAAAAAGCAGTGAAGTCAACAGCAGTGGGATCTCATGCTTTGGGATGCTCCCCCAACTAAGCACCTGGTCTGAATTTCAGGATTAGGGACAACCCCATCATTCTGGACATATGGTGCTGATAAGGTAGGTGCTGTAAGCCCTGGATGAGCACAGAGACCTCCCCGCTGTGTGTGAACCTCATGTCCCAGATGCTTCATGTTTCCTCTTGAGCTGGGGTCAGCCAGTGAGGACAAGCCAAGCAGGGAAATGGGTGGCAGGTGACTGTGCAGACCCATTTACAGGGTCTGCACCTGGAATTCAAGCATGCTAGCATACTTATTATCTAGCATAGATTTAAAATAAAGACTGGTGGTAAAACCTACATTTTACTTGGTCTTGCTTCATCAGCTAACACAGGACCCCTGATGTTTAGGACCCCTCCCTTTTAAATGTGTCCTTCAATTACATCTTTGAAAATTGCAAGCAGATTCTTGCACATGCTCACCCACAGGGCGTGCACAGGCCACGACCCCACCCTCCTGTCCTGCATCACCTCCTGTTTCTGCTGCCCTGCATCCTGCTGAGGGCCCATTTCCACTTCCACCAAATCAGAAGTTTGAAGGAAACATTAACCCTAAGCTAAGGGAGTCACCTTCCATGGATCCCAAAGATTCAGCACCATTTTCTCTCCCTGCTGCCCCTGCCATGGTGCATGGATGCCAGAGTGTGTGACTGCCCACACCAGAGCATGTGTCCTCTGAGGATGCCAGGCCTCCCTGCTTCTGGGATCCATCCCTGCACCGCCAGCCCCTAGGCTGTACCTGTCCCACACGGAGATGCACTTGGGGCCCCAGGAAGCTTGCCTCTGCCCCTGGGCTCTCAGTGCCTCAAGGCCACTCCCCCCACTCTCTTGACTAATGTAAGACCTTGCTATTTTTGTGAACACTGGTCTTTCAAGCTGCCTTTTTACTTACAACCCCTCCCCAGTACTCAAACCTGAACCCATGGGGAAAAAGCCCGCGGAAAGCCTGAGTGACTCGCGAGCCTGCTAGGCCTTGCCCACTCCTCTGGAGTCCAGTTCCTCGCTCCTGGATTCGTCTCACCAGCCTCCTCTCTCCTCACCTCACATCAAGTCCCTCACGGATGCCTAGGCCCTCGGACAGACTCCTACTGGTCTTGTCTTGTCCACCAGTCCAGTGAAGGCGACTCCCAGAGATGCCTGCTGCTGAGGCCCAGCCCCACCGCCCTGGTCCGGAGCTGCATCTGCAGAGTGTCTGCTTGGGAGACTTCCCTGCACCCGCAGCCTGCATGCACCCATTGCACTGACCCTGGCGGCAGTCTCTGCTCTGCCATGAAGATGTCTATCTTCATACCATGTGCCGAACTCAGAACTCCAAATCAGAGTCTTCCTGTGACAGATGAGAGGCTATTTTAAGTTCCAGCCTAGCAGCTGGGTTGATGGCAGAAGATTAGTGCTAGGTCTACAGTGAGCAATAATAGTAAGTTATGAAAATAATCAAAGAGGCTTATCCCCTCTTCTCCTGGATATACCCAGCCAGGGTCTACCTGTGCTCACCTCACAACCACCAAATAAGCAAATGTCTCTTTGGTATTCTTTTTGTAGATGTTTCTAGTCCTGTGTAAACCACTAACCCAATTTTGTGTTAAGGGTTGTCACTGAATTTTTATAAAAAGAGAAGTCATTACAAATACTAAATTACAGATGAAATTCTCACAATCCCTAATCATAGCTGTCCTGAAATACGATTGCGTGTATTTACCTAAAATCTCCTTAAAATGATAGAATACTGCTTGAATTTCCAAAAGCTGCAGTTGGAAGATGTTCTAAACTGAGTGATAAGAGAACACAGTTTGATTCCTACATTGCTGACTCTGTTGGCATTTAATTTTGATGGTCTCAATTTAAAAATTCCACCTTTAAGGCCCGTCCTGGATTTAAAATGCTGGGCAATTTTAAAGAGTGCATTATCAAAGAGAACATTAAAAACGAATGTAAGTGTATTCCTCCCTGGGAGAGGTCAGACATCCATGAATCAGTTGGTCAGGAGAAAACAAAAGCCTGCCATTGGAAGATACTGGCAGAAGCATGTTGTGAAGCTATGTGGTATAATGAAAAGGGGCCTGGTTGTGGAGAAATAAAGCCAGTTCCATGGCCTAATTCAGCCTCTGCTAGCTCTGTGCTTGGGAAGAGGCCACCTTCAGTTGCTTTATTGTACATCAGGTCCATCATCTGCGAAAGCAGACCCCCACCGTCAAGGGGCTCCTGTGAGGATGGCCATGAACACGAGGTGATGGGCAATCAGCTTTCAGTTGTCCAAGGTGTGTAAAGATCCCTGACAAAGGAAAGTAAAGTGAGTAGTGTTACATTAGTCAGGTACTGAGAGTTAATTAAGAGTTGTATTGCTTTAATATGATAGATTCACACTTTAAAACAGAAGGTAGAAAAAGGAATGAACACACAGTGCCATATACCTAGGGAATTCTGGACCTGGAAGAGACCTCAGAGGAACATCTGTCCTAACCCTCACTCCCCGGACACCCATTTCATAGAGAAGGAACACCGAGAGGCCCAACGTCTCACGAAGCTGTGCACAGAGCTTGGACTAGAGCCCGGGTCTCCTGCTCCCCAGCCCCTAGCACCTGTGATTGCGACTGTCAAGCTGTCGTAACCTCATGTCACAATCCCACACCTGTGTCCATGCACAGACCTGCCAAGGCATAGCGCCTCCCCTGCCCTCCACAGTGTGGAGACAGGGCCTCTCAGAGAACTGCCACCAGCCCAGCTCATGGAGAAGACCTTCCTCATGGACTCATCACATGTTTACCTGAATGCTTACTTGTGCCCAAGAATTGTACTGAACCCTGATAAAAATTTCAGTGCTTGGACATTTCCTTCAAATAGTGGCTGTGTACTGATGGCAACCACATAGCTGGAGATGTGTCAAGGCAGATGCAACCAGATTGCATAGAAGCTGATGGGTGGTCTGAATAAGGAGCCGGGAGAAATTTGACAGGGAATTCTCCCTCGCCTGGACAAATGAAAAGTTTACAATGATAAAAAAATAAAATGTCATAAAGTGAAGGAAAGAAGGACAGAATTTTTTTAGCTGTGAGAATTCTGCAGTGACTGGCCAAGTTATGTGGTTTCACGGCCACAGTTTGCATAGCTTGCCACTGCCTGCCGGGGGCTAGGTCAGATGCTGGTCCTGAGAACACTGATGTCAGTCAGTCATACCGTAAACTTCCTGAGTGTTCTATAACAGCATGGAGAACAACCTGTTTCTCCATTTCTTCATCTATTTATTGGAGATGATTATTAGTATCCACTGATAGGGTTCCTGAGAAGATTAAATGAGTCACACCACATTAAATGCTTAGAATGATGCCTGTGATAAAGTAAGTGTTCAATAAATGTTGGCTTTTCTGTATGAAAAGACTAATTGTCACTGAAAACTCACTTCTAAATGTGAACATATGAATGCAAGGGACGAGGTGAGGAAAGGTATATCAATCAGGGTTTGCCAGAGAAACAGAACCAGTGGGAGGTATATTTTAGGTGATCAGTTGCAAAGAACTGGTTTACACGATTGTGGGGACTGACTGGACAGGTCTGAAACCCCTAGAGCAGGCCATCCGGAGGGCAGGCTGGAGCTCAGGCAGAAGCTGAAGTCACAGTCCAGTGGCTGTGGAAAAGTTCAGAGGAAGCCTCA